CAGCACTATTTACAATAGCCAAGAAATGGAAGCAACCTAAGTGTCCATCAGTAGATGAATGGATAAAGAAGATGTGGTACATATACACAATGGAATATTATTCAGCCATAAGAAGAAAACAAATCCTACCATTTGCAACAACATGGACGGAGGTAGAGGGTATTATTATGCTCAGTGAAATAAGCCAGGAGGAGAAAGACAAGTACCAAATGATTTCACTCATCTATGAAGTATAGCAATGAAGCAAAACTGAAGGAACAAAACAGCAGTAGACTCACAGAACCCAAGAATGGACTAACAGTTACCAAAGGGAGAGGGACTAGGGAGGGTGGGTGGGAAGGGAGGGATAAGGGGGAAAATGGGGCATTATGATTAGCACACAAACTGTAGCTGGGTGGGGGACACGGGAAAGGCAGTATATACAGAGAAGACAAGCAGTGATTCTATAGCATCTTACTACACAGATGGACAGTGACTGTAATGGGGTATGTGGTGGGGGACGATGGGGGGAGTCGATGCATGAGGGCTTGATAATGGGGGGACTTGATGCATGAGGGAGCACAGTTATATGTACCTCCCGCCAGAAGATCTCAATAATATGTTCACTTTGAACAAGCGCTAGCCCAACTAACATTTAATATAAAATTTAAAAAATCTATAAACCAAAGCATTTACTAAATCAAAGTATAGGTGATAGAAATTATACTATGGCGCTATAGAGGAAGTACCATAAGGGAAAGATGAAAGATGTATTTACAGTATAAAATAGCAAAGATTACTACCTATACCTTTTGCATAATGAACTAACTAGTAACCATAATGTTGCTCATGTAATTGTAGATTAATGATAACAAAAGAAAAAGATAAAACACACCTCACCCATTCCTCCACCTGGTCCTGTTCTTAAGCTCTTCTTCCCACCTAGAACTCTCTTGCCTTCCTATGCAGTCAGCTCAGTTCTCCACTAAGCTGCCCAGCCCATTCCAGCTCACAGAGATCTCATTCCTGAAATCTTCAAACTCTTGTTGAAGAGTTGTCTCATCAACATTTCATTATAAACTGCCTTATGCAGTGACTAAAATTTTCAAGTGTATTTGTCTTAAAATGGATGACCGTCTAGATGGTAGGGACCAGCCTGAGCTTTCCCAGTACCAAAGCACTAGTCTCTCCTCAGAGTAGGTCTTCAGCATTTGTTAAATGAGTGTTAAAATGCAGCATGAATTTTCTACTACTGAGTTGAATTGCGAGGCTGTGTAAAAGCCGATTCAGCAATATCTGAATACATGTTTTTAAGTGATTGAGTGCAGAATTAGTCCTATTTCTAAATCCCCACTGGTAATTTGAGCCTTATTGTATCAGCCCCTTAAAGATTCCCCTACCTCCCTCCCCCTGAAGAGATGAATGCAAATAGGGCACTGCAAACTGGGTGTTAATTATGGGCAAGTCCTCCCTGGCATAGACTGATCCAAAGGTAAAGACTCTCCTAACTGCCTGATAACACCAGATTGCTGGCCCTGCAAATCAGAAAAAGACAATTTGCTCCTCAGGGGAAGCCATTTAGGGGACGAAGCCAATTGGTATGGACAGAGTGTTTGCTGTTCTCATGAGGATGCATCTGGACCCCTCTTCATTTAGGAAGTTTTAACTGACTAGAGAGAGAGGTTGTGCTGTACCAACCCATCACCTTTAAACCCCCCTGGAGCCAGCTAAGTGAGATGGGCAATAAGCCTGTGGGACGAAGTTGGAGCCTTAGAAATGAACTAGGCATGAGATGATCTTGGACAGCCCTGGGAAACTTGCACCCAGTCATGTTACTGTTGTGCTGAGGGCAGAAGAGATCTTTTCCAAACTGGCTGTTCATTCCTTAAGCTTCTAAACAGGTCACTTGGAAGCAGCCAGTTGGCTGCATATGACTCACACATTTTACTTGGCCTGTGGGGTGTTTTTTTTAACATTTGAATTAGTTGCCAACACTTAAACATTAGGAGATTTCACATAAAAATCTGGATTTCTGGCTTCTCTTGACAACAGTGCACTTGGCCACACTAGGCCTTCCTCCTCACAGGGACACCTCCTGGAGAGGGGGTATTCACTCCCCACCAGGCTGCTGCTTTCATTTTTGTCCCTGCACATGTCCCTTCTTGTTGTCCCTGATCTAAAATGTTGCAGATTGCAGATTTGGGTGGTGGTAGGATCAGATAGCTACTCCAGTCTCTGGCAACTCTGCTCTGCCATGTCCCTGGCTGTGGAGGAGGGGACCCAGGGCTCTGGGAGTCCATCTGGGAGACTGGGCATTTTTCATTGACTCTGATCTCTGAACTTCCTGTCCCTTCATGTCGCATCGTGGAGGGATGGGCATTTAGAAGCCATTGCCCTGGCAAATGGTCATCTTCTGGTTGAGTTAACTGGAGCTAACTTTTCCTGAGCACTTACTCTCAGCCAATCTCTTCAGTCTTTGTAAGAATGCTGTACAGACTCAATCCCATTTCTGGGATGAAGACACTGAGGTTAGTGCCACACAGCTAGTGGCAGAACTGACTCCATAGACTTCTTGTTAACCAAGGGCTTCTCTCTCCACCTGTGTGTTATTCTTATTAGGGCCCATCTGAACTTTGAAACTCATAGCCACTGTGGATCAAAAAAAAAACATACAAAGAAGTGTTTAAACCATATAGCATATTAATGATGATTCTCTGAAGCCAAAGTGTGAAATGATTGGATTTCTTAATGCAGTGGGATTCTGGAGTGGGTGGGTAGGTGTGCCAGGGGTCTATGCTTGCCTGGGTGACCGAGATGGAGTTTATTGGCCCAGAGTGAGTCAGAGTGGGCAGGAAATCCCTGAGCCCCTCAGACTTCTGAAAGGAACAGTTTTTGTCCAGGCAACTCAGGTTTCTATAAATTTGTTGCAGTTTGGGAAGAAGTGATGGAAATAATCTCAGGTGTGCTTGAAGGACATGTAAATTCTTTACATGTCTTTTAAAAACAAGTCTTTAATTATAAATTAAAATTTATTTCAAGTTGTCCCAAGATTTGGAAACTCGGTGTGTTCAGCTGGTTCTAAATGTTTCCTCTGCTGTCAAATCCTCACCTCTCTTGGACTGCACCCCATGTCACCCAGGTCTAGCACCAGTGTTTAGGGACCTGGAAACCACTGGAAAGAAGGTCATCTGGATGTCGGAAATAAAGGTGTAAAAAAGGGGGAGGAGAATTTGATTTTGACTTTAAGACACTGTAACTTCCAAGGTTCCTGCAAAACCATTTGCAGCTATTGCAAATAGCCTTAAAGTCATCAGCGCCCCACTGCGGAATTCAAAGCTAAGCTTGTCACAATTGTTAACACCTTCTCTGAACAGTCTTTCTATATTTGACAATTACTCTCTTCTGTGCCTCTTTTTTTTGCCGGCAGGAAGGTTCAGCTGTCTCGGTTTTAGGTCGTACCCAAGCAGCGAACAGTCCCTTCACATGCCGCAGTCAGGGGAAGATTTCTATCCGCTCTCCCGCTTTGCAGGGTGAGTAGGTTTTGAGGCTTAGAAAGCGGGGCGAGGGAGAGGGAGTAACGGAGAGTAACAGTTTTGGAAGTCTCTACGGATTATATAGTGAGTTGACGCTGCAGGTTATAGATTGGGACAATGACCGCCTTCTCCTGGGCAAGCTGGCCCCGGGGCGAGCGCGGAGGAGCTGGTCCGTAGGCCGGGTTTGGGGAACCCACTTCCAAGGGCGCAAGGACTGCGAGTCTCAATGGACCGGGGCGTCCCGCCGAGCGCCGGGCTGCTTGTAGGCTCCTTCCTACTCAGAGGGAAAGGGGTGCTCCTGGTGGCCCTCGGGGGAGCCCTCCCACTCTTCTCAACTTCCCCGGCCCCAGGGCCGGAGGAGGGCGCCTCTCCCGGCGGGGACGCGCTCGGTACTTAAAGGCGGCTCGGCGCGGCTGGCGCTCGTCAGTCGGAGCGCGCGGCGGTGGCGGTGCACCGGGAAGCGGGGCGCGGCGAGGAGCGGGAGGAAGGGCATGGAGCCGCCGCGGGCCCGCTGAGCACTGGAGCGCGGGCAGCGGGCGGCACGGTGAGCGCGGGCCGGGCCAGCCGGCCACCTCGGAGGGGCGGGCCCCGCGGAGGCCCCAGGGGTGCCGCTTGCCGAGCCCGCGGACCAGCCCCTCCCAGACCCCGGCTCCCTCGGGCTCCCGGCGACCCCGGCCGTCGCGCCCCTCGCGGGGAGGCGGGCTGAGGGCTGCGACATCTCCGGGCTTCCCGGCTGCGGTTCCAGCAGCCCCCTCTCCACTGCCCCTCCTCCCTTTCTTCCTCCAGCCTCTCCTCCCTTCCTCCCCTGCGGCTCCTGGTTTGTGAATGGATTAGGAGGCGGCCGACCGTACGGGGCACGAGGCGGGCTGGGGTCTCTCCCGCCCCCACGCCCGTCCGCTGGTTCGCACCTGCCCAGGCACCGGGATGACCGGCGCCCCGGTTCCTACGGGCAGGCGGGGCCATATCCGCGGGCCTGGGTTCCCCTTCCCTCATCAGCTCGGAGGGCCTGGAGGGCGACTGGGAGCAAGGGAAAGAGCCCCCACCCCTCTCAAAGTTTGCATTCCGCCGCGTGTGGGCCCCGCAGCAGGACACACCTGTCAGCTGGAGAGGCTGCAGACTGGGTAGACCCGCAAAGTTTTGGGGGGTAGATTGACAGCGTGCGTTCCTGGTTGGGGTTTTTCTCCTGTCGTTTGAGGGGATAGGGCACATTAAGAGTCGCCAGCCTCGTGCCCTTGAAGCTGGGTGCAAGTTAACCTACAGGAGCCGAGCTCTTGTGGATGTAGGGGGTAGTTAGCCTACGGCGGAGGGCAGGATGAGAGGCGGTCGGTACGAATTAGCCAACGGGGGTACGGGATGAGAGGAGGTCTCGACTCTCCTCCGCTGGCTTGAGGTGACACGGCCCCCATCTGGGCAGGGACAATCAGCCAGATCCTGCCAGCGCCGATTGCTCATGGGGTCTCCGGCTGCGGGGCTTTCTTGGTTCTCGGTGGGGTAGGGGATGCCGGGATATTGCCTCCAATTCCTGCTCGGGGTTAGGGGCCCCAACCTGGGAAAGAAGGGGCCGGCGACACTGGGGATGCCGCCTTTGTCTGAAGGCACACTTTGCCAAAGGTAGTTGGGGGCCCCGGGAGATGAGCGGGATTTGGTCCGACTGATTCCATGGTTTTCTGGTTCCTTTCCGGCTGAGTCGTGGGAAGCCGGCACGTGGGTGTGGCCGGCGCCGTCTTCGCCAGCAGGCAGTGCTCAGGCGGGAGTGAGAAGCGTGGCGAATGCCTTCCCGGCTGCGTTAACCTGGTGGGCAACGCCTCCGGCACTGCACCGAGGTGGGGCGCTAGCGCTCGACAGGTTGCTGGGCTGGCCCCTGCGACCCCCGCCTTTTCCCAGAGCGCAGGTGGGCAGTGGTACCGGCAGCGCCCTCTCGGCATGTGAGCTCTAGAGGCAGGCGGTGTGCTCCCGGGCCGTGGGTGCACGGCCTGGAGCCCCACCGGGCCGCAGAGGCGTGCGAGAATAGCGGGGCAGTGGGGGAACCATCGTCCTGCAGAGTAGGCACGCGGCAGGCTCCCAGGGATGGTGGGGCAGAGCGCCCGGAGACCACGCTTCCCGGAGAGGCGAGGCTGCCAACAGCACTTTCCGGACCGAAGCTGTTGGAATGCTGCTGGTGCCTGAATCCCGGGCTAAGGCAGCCAATTCCTCCGTGTTCCTCACCCCTCTTATATGAGACGTGGTCGGGGAACAGGCACTGTTCCCCTGCCAGGAAGGTGTGTTTTGATTGAAGTGGAGCTCGGGGGTGGGTTTCAGAAGGACTTGAGTTAGAGCAAGCTGAGAAGTGAGACCTAATTGTCTGTAAAGGGTGGCTGGTGGTGGAAACTGGATTCTCCCTATCAGGCAGGTGGCAAGGGGAGGAGATGGGGGAGAAGGCCTGGGTCAGAATGAAGAGTGGGGAGCTGTCCTCATTTGCCGCCTCCTCCCCATTCAGCTTTCCCACTGGGCAGTCCTTCAGGGCTAAAAGACCTTCCATTTTAGGAACGATTTACCTGAGACCTTTGGGGCAAGAAACCATTAGAGATATCAGGCTCCGAGAACTTGGGCAAGGTCAAGGGAGCCAGGAGGTGGTAGAGCTATGTCTCAAGCACAAGTCTTCCGGCGCCAAGACCTAAGCGTCTTTTCATTGAAACACAGCTGTTTCCCACAGGGCCGATACTGTGTGTCCTGCCTTACTGCAAAGGAAACCTGGCCGTCTTTCCAGTAGGGTGAGCACTAGGACCAGGTGGGCGCTCCTCCCCGGCAGCCATCCTCCCGGGCTGCGGCAGTGGTGGCTGCAGGTCCCTCTGGCGCCCTGCGTGCTGGGCTTCAGAGCTGTCCACACCCCAACTCTTTCCTCTTCTTTCCCTTGTCTGCTTTTCCTTTCTTTCCCGCCTTTCATGTAAATGAGAAAAAGGTGAGAATGCAGAGAACACAGGGAAAACTTTCTCTTATTTTGCTTTTTCAGAAAGGGATGTTGATTCCTTCTTTTTTCCCTTGGCACCTCTTTATGTTTCCTGCTGTTTCGTTTCTTCTCTCCTACTTTCTTCATCATTGTGGCTATGCTTTACTGGCAAATATTTCTTTCCCACAGCACAATCTCCCAGTGGATACAGGGCGGATAGAAGCTGTTGGGCCACTGGCCACCTCCCTGCCTGTCTTCTCTCTGGCTGCTGCTGTGCTCAGCCCTGCCTCAGCCTCGGGCTCACTCCTGCTGCAGCTTGCCTCTAAGAGCTTTGGGTCAGGCATCAGTTCTGCCATCCACCAGCTGGGTATCACATAGCTCGCTCTGGCTTTGGTCTAAGGATATAGTAAATGTTACTCTGGGCGCTTCATGTATGTAACCCGTTTAACCCTCAAAGATGCTAGAGGTAGTGCTGCAATCCACATTTTACAGAACTGACTAAAGGTCAGAACATAGTCACCCAGATAGTGAGAAGCTGAGCTGGGATTTAAGCCACAGTGGTCTACAATCTTAGACATGCTCAGTAAGTGGCAATGGTTTTTTATCAGTGCATCATTTCCCCTGTTCTGGGCCAGGCCCAGACAAAAGGCACCCACTCCCATTAACTGACCCCACATCTCCTCCCTTCTCCCAGATGCCGGTGCAGCTGACAACAGCCCTGCGTGTGGTGGGCACCAGCCTATTTGCCTTGGCAGTGTTGGGTGGTATCCTGGCAGCCTATGTAACAGGCTACCAGTTCATCCACACAGAAAAGCACTACCTGTCCTTTGGCCTGTATGGTGCCATCCTGGGCCTGCACCTGCTCATCCAGAGCCTGTTTGCATTCCTGGAGCACCGGCACATGCGGAGGGCAGGTCGGCCACTGAAGTTGTCATCCCCATTGCGGCGCTCGGTGGCGCTCTGCATCGCTGCATACCAAGAGGACCCTGACTACTTGCGCAAGTGCCTGCGCTCGGCCCAGCGCATCGCTTTCCCTGACCTCAAGGTGGTCATGGTGGTGGACGGCAATCGCCAGGAGGACGCCTACATGCTGGACATCTTTCATGAGGTGCTAGGTGGCACTGAGCAAGCTGGCTTCTTTGTGTGGCGCAGCAACTTCCATGAGGCGGGCGAGGCCGAGACGGAGGCCAGTCTGCAGGAGGGCATGGACCGTGTGCGGAATGTAGTGCAGACTAGTACCTTTTCATGCATCATGCAGAAGTGGGGAGGCAAGCGAGAGGTCATGTACACAGCTTTCAAGGCCCTTGGTGACTCGGTGGACTACATCCAGGTAAGGATGCCTCCCTGGGAGCGTGTGGCCATGTGGATTTGTCCAGCCAGCTGGGCATACTCCAGGAATTTTAGGTCCTGTCTGAGTGCCTTGTGTTGTGTACATACCCCTCTGCACTTACGGCAATAAGGCATAATGGTTCCGACCAGCAGTCCTGGGGTCAGAAAGACCCGGGCTGGGATCCTGCCTCTGCTTTTACTTAGCTCTGTGACTTTGGGCAGGTCTCTCAACTGGGATCCCAATAATAATAATAATAATAATAGCACATAGATATATAGCATTTACTTCCTAGCAAACAGTGTCATAGGCATGTCATATGTATTTGTTCTTTGAATCCTCATACTCTAGGGGAAGAAGTACTATTATTTCCACTTGCACGTGATCCTGAAGCAGGGAGAGGCTAACTAACCTGCCTTATGTCACCACTCAGCAGTAGAATGCAGAGCTAGGATTTGAGCGAAGGCAGTTTGTCTCAAGTCTGCCCTTACCCACTGTGCAATACTACTTCACCATTGGCAACATGAGGATGAGCTTCTTCATAGAGAAGTGTGATGAAGAGGAAAAGAAGTCATGCTCCAAAGCACTCAAATATTGTTTTAGTCATGGGCCAAGAAGTCGTACTCTCCTGGATGTCAAATTCATGTCTGAGAGGTGGAGGGACACAAGGTGTGAGTCATCTCCTAGCATGATTCTGTAGCAGTCTTGGCAGGGCTGGGACCCTGAACAGACCCCACCTAGCTTCCAGTCAAAGGGGTCACTGATGCCAGCCTGGTAATTTTATTAGATTATTTACAAGATTAACACAGCTCCAATTTTCAAGTAACAAAATTTAGAACAGATTAAAGCTCATCCATTTTAGTACCAAGTAAAAACTGACACCAGGACCCCCATATTTCTGGGGCAGCATCCACACTGTCCCTTCTTCTGTTTCCTTCCTTCTGGCATGTGCCAGAGGCTTCTGCTCACCATCTGAATAAATCTCTGTTGTGGTGGCCCACCTGTATACCGGCTGAGCCTTGCTGACAGCATGTTGGGCACTTTGCATTTCAATTTTCTGTGCTGTATCCACCCACCATTAGCTGGCCATAGATTTTTGTTTTTGGCTTTTTAGAAAGTTTCATCCTCACATGAGAGTTGGTACATTTATCTGTTTCTTTTATCAAGGACATCTTCAGTCTCATGGGGAGGGATGTGAAGCAGTTCTTGATTCTGCAGTTCAGGAAGGGTCAAGGGCCTTTGAAAGGCCAGAAAAAGCCCAAGCTCTGGTACATGCTCAAGCTACAATGACTCTCCTCTACTTCTCTGAAGCACAGGATTCCCCCAAGCCTTCTCTGCCGTACATCTGCCTTTCCTGATCATTTCTTGTATTCTGGTGGATCAGCAAATAGACTCATACACCTGAAGCAACCCTAGGCTTCAGTCAATGAAAACTGAGTGGCTTTCAGCCTGTCTTCCATTAGCTCTGTTAGGGTTGTGTCTTTCCCTAGGAGGGGAATAGCCCTGTCCCAGCCAGTGGGGAAACTTACACAGTCAAGAGCTCTTAATTTCTCTAATCCTGCTCTGCTAGAAAGACCTCCTGGGAGTGAAGGAAGCCAAGGAGCAAGGAGAATGGGCTGGGCTCAGGGCAGGAAGTAGCCAGGAAACCACCAGCACAGAAGCCTGGCTTGTAAGCTGAGGAACCCTGGGACCTTCACAGGTATAGGCCAGGATGTAAGGATGGGTTGGTGGGGAAGTAGGAGCGAGCAGTCGTGATGGCTGTGCCTGGTTCCCCATCAGCCTTCTGCTGCTGCTTGCCCATGGCCACCCTGTCTTCCAGCATGGAGAGTATGCTGGGCGGGGGTGAGGTGTGAGAGGCAGCCCCCTCCTGCAGGCTAATGGGCTCTCACTCAGCCCATCAGGGTTTATCAGTGGATACTGTTCTTTGCTCTGTCAGGGTGCAGGGAACCAATTCCCCTACCCAATGGCGATCTGGGGCTTTTTCTATCATTTCAGTGATTATCTAGAAAACAAGGAGCCAGCCTCCAGAGTAAGTGTTCATAGCCCAGGTTCAACAACTAATGGAGCTACCCATTAGAATCAGAGCATAAGCCTCCTAGGAAGGATGGGTGTGCAGGATTTGATTCAGCCTCTGACTAGAGGCAGATGTCGCCAGCTTCTATGCCCATCCAGAGTAGAATCCAGGTGGAGAGCAGCCCTTGGCCATCCTGTGCCCTATCTTAGAGACTTGGTCAAAGGGAGCACAGAAGGCCTGGCAGCCATGTTGGGAGGGACTGTGATTGGGTAGATACATACATCCCCTGCTTGGGCTGCAGACTGTCCAAGAGGCCAGAGGCTATAATAGGGAAGACTCCTACGGGAAAGCAGTGGAAGGTAGCCTCTAGTCAGGGCCATTTCTTGGCCTTCTGAGGAGTGCCTGCTGGCCCTGGTCTGCCACTGTGCCTGTCATCTGACTTCAGTGACTTGTTCCTCCTTTATTCCAAGGGACTCCATGAGACCATGTGTGTGGTACCGGGCTCCAGAGGCTAAAAACTTGTCCAATGCTAAACATTTCTCCCTTTCCAGGCCTGGCACCAACAGTCTCCTGGGTTTCTCTGTCAGCATAGAGGCTGTCAGACCCAGTATCTGAACTTTTTCTTATTTACCCACCTCTTTCATTTGGCACAGATCTCTTTGCCAGGCTCAAAGTAACCACGTGACAGGGTTATTATCCCTCAGGCAGTGAGTGGCCAGGGCAGGTTGGGGGGGCTGTAGGGCTGAGATCAACATGGACTGACGGTGCATTCCCTCTGCAGGTGTGTGACTCTGACACCGTGCTGGATCCAGCCTGTACCATCGAGATGCTTCAAGTCCTGGAGGAGGACCCCCAAGTAGGGGGAGTTGGGGGAGATGTCCAAGTAAGAATTAATCAGGGGTTCCTGAGGGTTGGGGTCTGAACTACTGCTTCCTAATCCACTTGGATATGCTTGGGAAATGGGCATCTTGACTTCCTAGTATTTCAGGGCATGTGGGGCCTCCTCTTTGACAGTTCTCACTAGTATCAAAGGGTTCACTTGCTGCCTCATCCCTCTCCTGTTCTTTTTCAACCTGAGATTTAAAAAAAAATCACTGAAAGGTATGTAGAGCCTGTGCTGCTGGGAAAGGGACACAGCAGTTGAAGGCCACAGACCCTAAAGGGTGCTTCCTTTTTGGCTAGCACCTCCAAAACTAGGCCCCTGACAAACCCTTGTTCTCAGGGAAGTTGGGCTGAAGAGCTCTGGGCAGTATGGTAAGAATAAGGGGCCAGATTTTTCTCCAGAGGGTACTGCTGGCAACATACCATGTCTTCCTGAGTAGTTTTCCAACTGCAACAGGTCAGGATGGGTTGCTGGGGTGCTGTTTCTATTTCTCCAGCTCTTCTTTTTGCCACCATCAAAGGCTGCCTCCTAAGAACAAAGGTGACTAACTGCCAGAGCAACATCACTGGGCTAGAGTGCAGATGACATGGCAGGGAGGTGGGGCTGATACAGGAGAGAGTAACTGGGTGTGGCTGGCTCCTTGGGGCCTCAGGTTTCCCAGCTCTGGCTGAGCTAGGACTGATGGCCAGAAATTTGAGCAATGGGTTATAGGAACATGTACGGGGGGCCTCATGGTCCCTGGTGTCTGCCTACTGGGGCTTATATCCCCAGGTGAGGAGGCCCAGAATATCTGCTTCCCTTGCAGATCCTCAACAAATATGATTCATGGATCTCCTTCCTGAGCAGTGTGCGGTACTGGATGGCTTTCAATGTGGAGCGGGCCTGCCAGTCCTATTTTGGCTGTGTTCAGTGTATCAGTGGGCCCTTGGGCATGTACCGCAACAGCCTCCTCCAGCAGTTCCTGGAGGACTGGTACCATCAGAAGTTCCTAGGCAGCAAGTGCAGCTTTGGGGATGACCGTCACCTCACCAACCGAGTCCTGAGCCTCGGCTACCGGACTAAGTATACAGCACGTTCAAAGTGCCTCACAGAGACCCCCACCAAATACCTCCGGTGGCTCAACCAGCAGACCCGCTGGAGCAAGTCTTACTTCCGAGAGTGGCTCTACAACTCTCTATGGTTCCATAAGCACCACCTCTGGATGACCTACGAATCAGTGGTCACAGGTTTCTTCCCTTTCTTCCTCATCGCCACGGTCATACAGCTTTTCTACCGAGGCCGCATCTGGAATATCCTCCTCTTCCTGCTGACAGTGCAGCTGGTGGGCATTATCAAGGCTACCTATGCCTGCTTCCTTCGTGGCAATGCAGAGATGATCTTCATGTCCCTCTACTCCCTTCTCTATATGTCCAGCCTGCTGCCTGCCAAGATCTTTGCCATTGCTACCATCAACAAGTCTGGCTGGGGTACTTCTGGCCGAAAAACCATCGTGGTGAACTTCATTGGCCTCATCCCTGTGTCCATCTGGGTGGCGGTCCTTCTTGGGGGGTTGGCCTACACAGCCTATTGCCAGGATCTGTTCAGTGAGACAGAGCTAGCCTTCCTTGTCTCTGGGGCCATCCTATATGGATGCTACTGGGTAGCCCTCCTCATGTTGTATCTGGCCATCATTGCCCGGCGATGTGGGAAGAAGCCAGAGCAGTACAGTTTAGCTTTTGCTGAGGTATGACATCATCCCCAAGCAGAGCAGGGAAAGTGCAATGGGGAAGGGAAGGAAGGGGAATGGAAGAGGAAAGGGTGGGAGGGAGGAGGGAGTGCTGTTTTAGTTTATTAATGGTCCAAAGGACAAATCTGAAGTGCAAAAAATGGTAACTGGAATATGGCCTGGGGCAGTTCTGCTTAAAGGTAACAACCCTGATTACAGCTCAGGGTGGGCAGAAGGGACATATATATTTTCAGGCTGCCTGTCTGCTTGCCTCTGACACATGGTGGCCTCTGGGAAAAAAACCACTTCCTCCCCCAGGGAACTCAGAAGTGTGTTAAACCAAACAATAAGTTCCATTCAGTGGCAACTTCTGATAGGTAAGTGAGCAACAATAGCCTGGGGGAAGGGGTTCTCTTCACCCACCTGCACACAGAGGTGGAGGGAGCCTGAGAGATCAGGGCTACCTAATAATGCATCCCTGCCTCAATCTAGTTATCAATGCACTGAGGTCGTGCCTGAGATACAAGGCCCAGAAGCCTGGTCTTTGGGCGTCAGAAAACAGGGTCCAGGAGTGGTGCTTTCTTATGCAGCATTCCACATCTCAGCATCCCAAGGATGAGCCAAACTAGCAGGGAGTTAGCACTGAACTGTTCTGAAGTGTGTGTGTGTGTGTGTGTACACACATTAAAAAGGAATGTTTGCCAGGAGGAACAAAGCTTGGTGGCAGTGCTAAAAGCCACGGGCTACATGGAGGCCTTGGGCTGAATGTATTCCATGTGGCAATTGCCCAGACATCTAGATAAGCTTGTCTGTGATCTCTGCTTGGGAGATAAAATGTTTTGGTCATCTCCCTGTAAGGTTAAAGCCCAACATTGCTCAGAAAGGAAGTGAAGGCTTGTGTATTTCAACCTGTATACTCCTGAATTCTTCTCTCAAATTCAGCTGTGACTAAGACCAGCTCCTTACTTCACTTTCTTCAAGGTGACATAGTCACCTCTTCCACCCTCCTTGTTGGGCAAGTTCAAGGTGGCAGATGAGTCTGGACTGTCATAGCCCTCTATGCAATAGGCAAGCAGCCCTCAGCTAACGGGGAAAAACTACTAGGAGCCTCTGATGAAACTGGCTACAATCTTCTAACTGCTTGGACAGATTCCTTGGCAGCTGGATGGCATGAAGGACGTTCAGGCTATAGTTCTTGACAATCGTCTCCAATGCAAAGCTTTTTAGCATTCCTCAAATCCAAGCTGGATGTCTTCAAGACTGCCCATTCTCAGTGGCTTCTCCAGGGAATTATCACAGCCAAACTGGACAGTCACTACTGCATCTGCTTGCTTCTTTCCAGAAACCAAACAAAAACCTCTGCTCTTTGGGGGAGTGAGAGAAGGCCAATTTCTAGATTTGCAACCCACAGACTGTTCTCAATTCTTGGACTTGAAACCTGAGATCTTGACTAAACCATTGCTTAGAGATTGCTTGCTCTCTCCCCCCAAATGTCCATTCTCAGAGGGGACGGCTAATCCCTCAGAACCAGCATCAAGGTAGAGTAGTTGAGGGTGCAAGCTTCTAGTGTGCCCAGGTGCTTCCTACAGAGGAACAAAGAATGCTCCGAGCCAGACTGGCAAACCCTGGTGCCTTCCTCCATTGCCTAAGAACGCAAGGGTTTTCAAGGTGCCGCCAACACTGCACCACGTAGACCTAGAGTTTCTTATAAGACTGCTCGTTGAAGCTGGGCCCAATCCATAAAGGCTGGTAAGAGGCAGCAGGCATTTGCCAAAGGCAGTTGTTTCAGGCTCTTCCGTGTTTTTGCTGGCCAAGAAGTAAACTATTTTGAGCACTACAATGGAGGAAATCCGCTCAGCCAACTGCAGAGCTCAGACTTCACTAAGGGCTTGTTTATCTTCAGCTTTTACTTAAAGATTGTTAATGTAGGATGGACTCCTGGCTGGAGAACTCTTGGCTGTCCTGCCATCAGCACTGTGGTCATCAACTGTCTTCATATCAAGAGTAAGCAGTGCAAGAAGTGGGCTCACAACGTTTGACCTCGACTGGTTTTTCTAAGTTATTTTGTACATTTTTCAGCAGTGAAACCAAACTGGGTCTTCAGCTTTATCCCCATTTCTTGCAAGGGAAGAGCCTTTATACAATTGGACACATTTTGGTTTTTCCTCATTGAGAATTTTAACCCTTTTATATTCTTTCTACAGTAATTTGTAAACATATTTATTTTTACTTTTTTTTTTTTTTTTTTACTTTTCAGGTCAAATTTTTTATACTGCACTTGTCAAAATAAAGATTCTCACATAATGCTGGCTATCCCTGAGCTAATTCCTCCTCCTTTGTACTTGAACTGGGTTAATTCCAGTTTCACTAGTCACTTCATATGGAAATAAAGGTTCGTTAAACCTTACAAGGAGCAGGGAAGTTGTTGCTGCTGCCTCTGCACAGCAGGCCCACCTTGGTAACTACACACCTATGGTGGCCTAACTCTTACTGTAAAGGGTAGGCAGGGTCCTTGGCGAAATTACTGGTAGGTAAGTGAGTCCTAGCTCAGGCCAAAAATCAAAGCTTGCTTCCTTCAAGAGTGAAAGCATTTTATCTGGCAGATAAGATAACATGGGATTATAGCCAAGCTGGAACAATGAAAAGCAGTGGGTAAACTTCCTTCCCTGTGTTACAGGTAACAAAATGGAGGACAGCAACAGCCCTCTCATCCCATTTATTAAAGAAACAGTAAGAAAAGATACAATGCAGGAAAATCACCATCCCCTAGTATCAAGCTGAACAAAGCACAGTGATTACTCCCCTTTGCCCTCCCACCCCACCCCCACCCAATTTCGGTATTCCTGTCCACATCAGTTTAGATTTTGAGGTTCTTTGATTGGGAGTACCAGTGGAGAAGGAGCTGGATGAGCAGTGGAGCCTTGATTCCGAGCTCCTCTGAGTCCCAGAAGGAAGCTGCAGGCCATTAGCCAAGCAGAACTTGTATCTGGTGGGTCTTTGAGGTGGCTGCCCACCTCTCTGTTCTGTGTTCAAGCCCCCAGGGAAAGGTATGGCAGTAGAGGATGACCAGGTCCAAGTCTGCCTAGGTCAGAGCTGCTGAAGCATAGTCTGTTCACCAATCCAACATTTCTAGAGAGCAGTGAGCTGATTCTCCAGTGGTAAGTAGGGGACTACATATGAATTGGGACCTGCAGGCCAATGTATCCCTGAGGAAAAGTCCACAAGAACAATTCAAGAAACTAGTAAGAAACAAGGGGCAGAAAGCTGTGGGACAAAAGCACAGCAGGTTTCTGGAAGGCTGGAGTTCCTTTCTCTCAAGATCAGGATTATTTCCACCTTCTGTAGTCCACATCCCACAAATAACATTTCACCTTCAGTCGAGAGAGAGGAAAAAGATGGCTCATTTGAACTTGAGCCCCAGCTATGTATTTCAGACTGTGACTCTGTATCTACCCTTTTACCTGACACATTCCCTGCCCAGAATCTTGGTGCCTAGAAATCAAGGCGGTCCTGGACAGAAAATGGTGCTTAAGGGGGTAACATTCCATTTGGATACATTGCAGTCATTGGACCGCCTGGTCTGGGGAAAGCAGCTTGGTTTGTGCCAGGGAGGCTCCCCACTCTAGGAAATGGGACCAAAGTCTTGCCTACAGGGCCATTCATCCTTGGAAAGGAAGCTGGATTTAGACCCAGGGTCCCAGTTGGCCTTGCATAAGGAGCTGGGTTGATACCCACAGGGCCTGCTGAAGAGCCCAGGGGCCCAGGAGCTGACCTTGGGAAACTAACCTGGCCAGGGCCTAATGGGCCAGTAGACCTTGGGAAGGTAGCTGGACTTGGACCCTGTAAGCCAGTGGCCCTTGGGAAGTTAGTTGGGTTGGGGCCTAGTGGCCCACAGGCTCTTGGGAACACTGCTGGACCTGAGCCCTGGAGGCCAGCAGACCTCTGGAAATTGGCTGGGTTTGAAGCCAATGTACCAGAAGACTGAGAGAAGGCAGCTGGATTCAGTCCTCCTGAACCTGTCCCCCTCGGAAAGGGATTAGCATTTACTCCCACAGGGCCAGCTGGCCTTGAAAAATGACCTGAACTGGGGCCTATGGGTCCAGGAGCCCTTGACATGGGGGATGGATTTGGGCCCGGAAGGCCAATTCCCCGAGAGCCAGGACCCGAGCTTGGGCCCATGGGTCCAGGTATTCTTGCCATGGAGGGGCTTGTACCCATGTTTCCAGAGGCCTGGGAGAAAGAAGCAGAATTGGCTCCTAAAAGACCTGCTGCTCTTAGAATGGGGGCAAGATCTAGGCCTTGGGGTCCAGCCATTCTTAAGTTAAGACCAGACCCTGTGCCCAAGAGGCCACCTACTCTGGTGTCCAGATTAGGGCCTGGGCCCAGGCCACCTGCCCTTGGGTTAGGCCCAATGCCTGGAGCCAGACCACTTGCTCTTGGGTTGGTCCCAAGGCCAGGGCCTGGAAACATACCTGACCTCGGAGCAGGGTTTGTACCCACAAAGCCTGATCTCAGATTGGGATTTGGTCCAGGGCCCAGGCCAATGGGCCTAGGATTGGGAGGACCATTCCCAGAGGTCAATAGGACACCTCTCATGTTGGGTCCAGATCCAGGGCCCATGGGGCCACCACTTCTGGGGTCAGGACCTGTTCCCAGGAGACCACCTACCCTTGGATTAGACATGGGACCTGGCCCTGGGAGACCCCCTAACCTTGGATTAGACACAGGCCCTGGCCCTGGAAGAGCCCCTGGCCTAGGGTTTAGAGCTGGCCCTGGGCCTGGGCCCAAGAGGCCACCAGGCCTTGGGAAAGAAACTGCACCTGTGCCAGTGGCATTCATCCCTCTTGGAAAAGAAGCCATGCCTGGGTCACGAGTACCAGCAGGGAAAGGTGCTGGATTTGAAGCCAGTGAGCCTGATGAAGTTGGAAAAGGAGAAGGGTTCCTTGGAAATGGGGCCAGATTTCCACCAAGAGAACCAGTTGCCATAAGGAAGGGATCTGAGTTCATGCCCAGTGGGTGGCCTGTGTTCAGAACAGGACCCCCCTGTGGTCCCAGGGAACCTTCGAGGCGTCCTCGAGGTGGCAGCGGAGCACGAGTCCAAGGAGCTGGCCGCTCTCTAGGGAAAATCCGGGGTTCTTTCATACTTTCTTGGGGACGTTGGTGATAATGGGCTTAGGGCGAGTTTTGAAAAGAATCTTGTTTTTGATGAGTGCTGTCACCAGGTATTGGGTGCCAGTCTTGCAGGCAAGCTCATCACAATCCTCCCCAGGAGTGTGTTTGACAAGGACAGCAAAAGGTTTCTCGAGGTGGATGACTTTCCCATACAGGATATGATGTCCCACGATCAGCACAGGGATTCCCTTTGGCAGAACAAGAACGAGATGCCTGAGGTTCAGGACAAGGTCATAACGCTCCAGTGCCTTCTAGAGAAGCTCCTGGCAGGCAGTGCTGGCACCTCCACTCCCTGTTGGCTCTACCACTGTTGGATGGCCACACTGAACAAACCACCCTTACACAACTTTTCACTCTTCCTAGCCCCAGGTAAGAGAAGTTCCACTTTCAGAGCTAACTTCCCTGCCACTGTACAGGTGGGGGGTGAGGGCTGGGAGAACAAGCAGACAGCTTACAGATTAGCTAGATCTTGAATAACAAACCTGAGGGCAGTCCTCACTGTGGGTCCTGGGAGCACCACCTTGGTGTAGCTTGCTTTCCTGAGACATTAGGCAGGGAAAGAAAAGTCCCCTCACCTCAGTGGTGTAATGTAGGTCTCCCAGGAGGTTTCCAGCTAATCCAGTGCTGTAGCGAGCCTCGATCTCCCCCTGTAGCTCCATCAGCACCCATTCTGCCAGGCCTCCAGCCCCAGCACTGCAAGCAAAGGGCTGGTGGTTACAATATTTTTGAAGGGTGAAGGATGAATAGTGTCCTACACCACCATTCAAGGCCCAAAGGAACTCTGTACTGAGCATAAGTTCTTGGGAAACTGGGCAGTGCTGGGCATTGAAATGCCAGGATTTGTGCAAGTTGCACCTGAGGACCCTGATTCTTCCAGGAAAAATGTCAAACCTATATAGCCCTAATCATTCAAGCTAAATAGAAAAGTCTCAACATATACTCACCTGGAAATAACAATTTGCACCATGAGCTTTCTGTCTTTAAAAAGCAACTGAAAATAAGCTGTAGAGGAAAAACAAAAATTTAAGATAATAACAATAGCTAGTATTTATCACTTACTGTGTACCAGGCACTTTTCTAAGTGCTTTAGACACATTGTTATTTGCCTGACCCTGTAAGATGTAATCTTTCAACTGATACTGCATGAGACTGTTAAGGTCACCAAGGGTTAACCATAGTATGGAAAGTTAACTGGTATTATCATAATTTTATTCAAGGTCACATAGTTACTAGTCAAGAGAGCCAGAATTTGAACCCAACATACACCCTGCAGAGCTCACACTCTAATCCACATTTCTAAAAAAAATGAAGGGATTGTTTTAGGTTTTACTTTTTCCTTTGGTGGTAGAAATGTCACATCTACCACTTTGGTTATTTACATTTCAAGGTTCAAAGGATCTCCTTTAACTAAAAGCCAAAAACTGGGAAAGTCCTTCAGACAACCTTAGTGAATGACAAGCTGATTTCTGAAAGAACTCTCATCAAATGCTTTGGCCATCTTTCACTCAGACACTACAACACAACAATTAACTTTCATTTTATGCAACAGTACCACCTAGTGGCCAGTTTCTGGCATTTCTCAAAAACGGGTAGAAATGGGACACTTGCCTCAAACAACTGATTTCACTTGTCTTTCTGGGAAGGACAGATTCATGGGGGAGAGAAGATGAGGAATCTTAAGTTTCTGTGTGTCTTGACAATGAATAGGTGGAATCTTAATGGAAGGTTACAGTTTACCAAATGTAGTACAGCAAGATAATAGGTTAATTTGTTCAAGTTAAGCAGAACACCTCATTTTTAAAAAACCAGGTTTCTTTACTGATGTTATTCTTCATTTTGGATCTCTAGGGAAAAGTAATAGCCAACATCCTTTTAAGATACCAGAACCTCTACTCTTGAGCACCAAACACTTGGGGTACGTAGGGTTGGTCAATTCACTGGTCTTCAAATTCAAAAATAAACAGCAGCTAATATTTACTGAATTTTTCCTATGAATTAGAGCTACACACATACATGGGTGGTATGCCTTTCAATCACTGTGACAATTCCATGAGATGTACTTATCTCTATTTTGCAGATAAGGCTACTGATGGATACACTTGCTTGTATGTGGTACACACAGAACTAGTATGCGGCAGAGAAAGCAACAAGAACCTAGGCTACCTGACACCATTCACACTCCAAAATAAATACCCTCCTGAAGAAGAAAACCAAGTACTAGTGAGAATGAAAAGGCATCAAGGCTTCAGGCAAGCACTGTAAACACACAGGAGCTGATCAGAAGGCCAGGGGGAACCAAGAAGGTACCTTTGAAGAAGCCAGACCTGCAGCAGCACAATTGTGGCACCACTTAAGAACAGGTAATACACTAGCTCAAGGGCAAAAGCAAAGGCCTTGGCAGATAAGGTGGCCCCACCACTACTAACAGAAAAACCAAGAGCACTTTTAAAGTTCTTCTCTTCCAAGGTTTCTTGAAGGAGAAGAGTAATCACTTAAAATCAGAAGGCCTATATTCTAGCCTGTAAGTGAAACTCTTTTACAGTAAGTGTCATCATGCATAAGTCACTCAATGACTACAGGGCTAATGCCTGACTCCCTGAACTACCTTGGAGACCAAATATAACATAAGCAAAAATGTTTTAAAGACAGACGAATACTTAATTTTTTAAAGGATAGGATTAAATCAACATTTCCACAGTATAATTTTGACTGTAATTTAGAGAATGGTCGGTATATTTTAAGCCATGAATCAAAAAAAAGGCTCCATAACTAGTAACTGAAGTTGCAAAGTTTCCAAGGGTTAATAAATGCATACAGATGAAGAAAGGGTTCTTGTATATAAGCTTTCAGTGACTGATGATGTAGTATTACTTTGCTTGATGGGTGTATTATAGTAAAATACTGGTGGTTTAGGAGGAGCAATAAATAGTTGACACAATGTGACATGTAGTAGGAAGATCAACCTTTTGCCTTTGACCACATTTGAGATGGCTGTGTGTGGACTGTTTAGGAAAGAGGGATGCATAAATATTTTTAGTGAATTCCCTATTTCCTAGCCTCAGAACAAGAATTCAAAACAGTGGCCTCAGTGGGCAAAGGAAATCAATGGCTGCACTGCATATAATCCCTAGCACTTAAAAGAGCACAGAGCTTTATCCATTTCTGTAGGAGGCCCTGCCTCAGGACATGTACTGATACTGGCAGACATCTAGCAATGCTCCCAAAAGTAGGAATTCTGTAGCCTACAGTTTCACCATTCTACTGCTGTACCCAGTCAGGCTGGTAAAAACTTGTGCTAGAACAAGCTTTTAAGAGTCTAGTTCACAAGCTTATGAGTCTAGCTCATAGGAACCTGTGGACTGACCTGGCTACATTTATGTACATTGAGCGTGTTAGCAAGAAAGCTAAGGGAGATGATCCCTGTAGCAAATTTTAAAAATCTTCTTTAGCCACTTAAAATATCCTTTAAGTGGCACCACTTAAGAACAGGTAATACTGCTCAAGGGCAAAAGCAAAGGCCTTGGCAGATAAGGAGGCCCCACCACTAACAGAAAAACCAACAGCCCTTTTAAAGTTCTTCTCTTCCAAGGTTTCTTGAAGGAGAAGAGTAATCACTTAAAATCAGAAGGCCTATATTCAGGTTCCTTTTCTTGCTCCTTGAGATTACTACTCTAGATAGTGGTTCCCAGGACCAGAGTAGGTAAGTATACCTGCGTACTTCAGTAAGGGCAAAAATGATGGAGGTGATAGTGAATATGTATTTCATTTAGTGTGGAGCTGACTAAAAAGGATTTGAGAATATGCAGCCCAGTCTATCCATTTCCTTGAGATTAGGCAAAGTTGATAGGAAAACAAAGGGGCAAAGAAGTGTAACTCAAGTCAAAGCCTATTAGTAATAACGAGTAACATTATGATGAAAGCTTCCATATAACAAAAAGATTTCTAAGTCTGCAGTGTCACCTAATTCCAACAATACTTGAGAACTAGAGCAATTTCTCCGTGTTTGTTCTAAGACAGTATGTAGAAATTGCAGCTTTATCAAGAGCAACATTTGAAGGCAGTCTGATGAATACACTGTATCAAATCATGAAACCAAGAGGAGCCAATGGAAGAGCTCAAGCAGCACCTCTATCTCAAGAGTCTTGAATTTAATTCCAGATTTGGATACGACCAAGTAACTTGGAGTAAGCCCAAATTGACAGTGTAACTGTAGAGCATGGAGAAATTTCTGTGTGGTAACATCTTTCAAAAAGATGGATGAATTCATTAATATTTCAGAGTGGAGTCTCATAGGCCACAACTAGAGGTGTGGACCTAGAAAAATGGAAAGGTGTGGAAAGAAACCAAAACTCATTCCTCTCCAGTGAATTATTTTGACTCTCCAATCCCTCCATCTTATAAAAAGGGAAAACTTTTTTCTACTCAATTTTTCTGGGCCTTCACCTAACTAAACAAACTAAATAATACATAAATTCTCTATTCCTAACTTATTCAATGACTTTATCTCTGTAAAGAAAAATTTTAAAAAGTGCACTTTACACATTTTTAACTCCTAATTTTTTCCTTTAAAAAACAATCTTTTCTGGGACTTCACAATTTCTAGAAATGTTGCTTATCTGAGCTTGCCCCAGATCATCCCATTAAGACCTGGAGTTAGTCTGGAAAGTAAAGACACTGCTGCTTCTCAGGACAGTGGTCCAGGTAACAAGACCCCTGAACAAACTGCAGACAGCAAAGGAACCAGCATTCTCAAAACCAATCTAGAGCCATAATGGGAGCCTTACCAAAACTCAGAATTGACTGGGATCAGAACAATCTCAGATACCCTATACTTAATTGTCAGTTGGCTTCCGTCTCTATTTTGAAGTTGTTACTATTAAACTTATTAAAAACATGGCAAATCAAAGTGCCACCACAATTTCTTAAAAAGGAAGAAATGTCCAGGCAGAGCATTATTTTTTATAATACAAAAAGATTCATTTCTCACACAGCTAAAATTTCTGGATCCTTATTTGGATCTCTCATTTCATCCTGAAAACAATCCTTATTATGTAGGCACTGTTTTACTATTCCCATTTTACAGATGAGGAAATAGGCTTAGAGAAGCTGAAGTTAAGTAACTGATCCCACAGCTAGTTAAGGGGTGGAGGTGGAATGTGCACCCAAGCCCCTCCACAGTATCGCCTTGTCTGCAGTCCTCTCACACAGCATCTCTATGTGAGAATTTCTGATGACTTTGCAAATGTCAGCCTTTCTCACATTTCTTACAAAATGGAAAATAAGTCACCTATGGGACAGATCTTCTAACTTGCCAAAGTAGTTCTTCCACCTGTGTGGCAGGCCCTTAAAGACTTTTTAAAAAAATCATATTCAATTGATGAGTTTTAGGTTTTTGAAATCTCGAGATCTACTTAATGTCACCTCCAGGATTCAATACTTAGTGGATGGCAAAATAAGGCAAGAGAACAGAGGACATTCTTTGCCACCAATTCACTTTAACCTTCAACAAAATCTAATTCTCTAATCCTCTGGTTTCTTAACTGCTAAATGTTAAATTGTTAAAAGATTACTAATGTCTTATGGAGAACAGTGGGGCAACGATCCTCATACTGGTAACACGATCCTGGTACTGGTAACTGCCCCCCAAATAAAATGTGGCAGAATAAACTGTTAAACAGAACATTGAGTTCTTACTCCCATCAGCAGCTGTGACTCAGTGGTTTACTCGGTAAGCTACAAACAATTTTACTAGAATTAGGCAAGTTTATAAATTATTTTCATTATAGTCTTTTGATTGATTCATCTTGTATTTTAAGTTTTTTTAAAAGAAAGCTTTGAATAAAGGTTTTAACTTTACACTTAATTTTAAAAATACATTATTTTAAAAATTAAATACATGGCACAAAGTACGCTTGCAACTTCAAGGACAACAGTTAGTATTTATTGAACTTATTCACTTCCAAGGGCTACTCTGTGTTTAGAATTCAAGTTGTCACACCTGGATTCTGTGATTTTGCCACTTACTCTGTGTGATAGGGTAATTTAAGCTCCTAAATTTGCTTCTGTACCAGTAAATTGGTCGTAGCAAAAAATAATCTCAAAGGTTTGTTATAATAATTAAACAAGGTTATGAATGTAAACTTCTCAGCACAGTGCCTAACACATGGTCTTTCCAGTTATTGATTACCCACCCACCCCCGAGGGGAAGGGACATTTTTTTTTGGTGTATGTCAAACAGAATGTCTTACCATACACTATATAATTATTATTTAATGTATGTAGGACTACAACATACTACAAAAACAGCAAGTCATCGGAAAAAAATCGTTTGCATAATGGAAGAAAAACTCAAACATCACAGGGCTCACTCAACTGCTTCAGGGATTAAGCTCTGGAAGGTTTTTTCTCTAAACATCATGACTATTTCTCTGTGTACCTTTCCACCAAGTGAACAATTAAGTTTTATATACAACTGAATACAATTATTTTTATTAGCAGTGTTATTGTGGTTTTGTGACTGAAAGGGATGGTCTAGGTTTCAAAGGGGATCTTGTCTCTTGACAGGCTTATGTCATATAAGGTGCTAAAATCCTGTTTCAAAAGAAGCTTGATCCCCTCCAGAATGGGGCTATGGAGGGTAGGTGGAATTGAATGCTTCCAAACTTTTCAAAACTGAAGAGTGTGTTCAGAAACGTGTGTAGATACTATGCAAACACGTGGTACTTTCCCATCACATTTTAGGATTCCCATGATGGAGGGAATCAATTTACAGGTAATTGTAGACAAGGGATGGAAAAGATGGCTTCAGTCGATCTGAGTTACTTCAGTTTTCTCCATCTTCTGCTACTCTGCAATCCCATCTCAAGCGTTCCTCCCCTTACTGCTCTGGCACCGTCTTCCCCAAAGCCCCTTCCTTTCTAGCCCCGCTTGAGGTCTCACTCTACACTGTATTCTCCTCCCACTGCCCCTCATCTCCACCCTCTCCCTCTGATCCCCTCCCATCCCTTCAATTTGAGCTACGAACACTTCCTATTTTTAGTCCCGCCCACTTCCAAATATCCCCCGAGTTTCGGTGAAACGCATTACCAACCTGTTTAACCCCCTCCTCCTACCTCTCAAAGAAACTATTCTTTAAGCTGCCTTCCTCCGTACCCCCCCCAGTAATATTCCAAACTGCTCACCCTCCTCTCATTCACTGTTTAAATGTTCTTCTTTAACCACCCTCATTCTCCAAATCGTTCCGTTTCCCTCAATTCTGAAGTACTTCATACCTCCAGGACCCTACCCCATTCCTCTCTCGTCTCACTACAGCCACAAAAGAACGTGCATCACTCGCCACACTGCCTTTTCCTTTCTATCACCCTCCAGATTACTTCTCAGCACCTCCCCACCACCAAGATTTTAAATGTCCCCTCGGACAAACCTCACAGTCCTACACCCACCTCCTCCACGAAGTCTCCTTTCTCATATTCCCACTACTTTCTGGGTTCCACTTCTACACCGCTTCTGCGTATCTCGCGTACTAGGCTCCCTCCCCACCGGGGTAAGAGCCCCTTCCCGCACATACCTCGAGATTCCGGCCCGCACCGCCCCCTTCTCCGCCCTCCGCCCGCGCTCGGCCACCCTTTCCGCCCATCTCCCGCTCCTCTCCGCTCTTTCCCTTTCTGCCCTCCGCCTTCAGCCCTACACCACTCCCTTCCCCCGAAATTCCCCGGCCTCTCACCCCCGGGGACCCCTCTGGGCTCGCCCCCACCTTCCACGGCCCTCCCCGCTCCCCTTCCCTTCCCAGCCGCCCCTCCCCCGCCCGCCGCTCCCCGCCCCTCGGCTCGCCATTCTTCTCCCCGAGCCGCGCGCGCCCCGCCCGGCCCCAGCTCTCTAGCTTCCCGCTCCCTCGTACCCTCGCCCCCATCCCCGGCTCGACCCTTACTCCCCGCGGCCTCCCGCGCCCCTCGCCCGCGGCCTGACCTGCAATGGCGGCCGCCGAGCGCGGCGCCGCGCGGCCAACGGGCGACAACCGAACCTCCCGCCGCCGTCGCCGCCGCCGCGAGCACTGCCTGCGCACTTCCGGCCTTGCGCCGCGAGCACTTCCGGGGCAGAGCACGCGAGCGCGCGCGCACGTGGGGCTGGGGCGGAGAGACGATCCCGGAAAGCGGCTAATGCTCGCTCTTCTGCTGGTGAGTTGGGGAAGGGGTGCAGGAAACAGGTGTGAGAAGGAAGTTTTGGGGGTGCGGCCTGCCCTAGGCCAACGGCCGTGGCGTTCACTGTCCACCTTGTGCCGACTCCCGGTGGGGGCTACCCTGTAAATTCCCGGGGAGGGAAGGGGCTGCGGAGACCTAGCGCGCGCTTCAGCCGCTCTCTTAGCGAACTGGGCCGTACTCACCTGTTCTGCCCGCGGTTTCCTAATCTTGAAGGGAGACGCGTGAGAGGCTGACCAGACCCAGTCCCTACCCTCGCCGAGTGCGTGTGTTGTCTGGGCGGGGCAGGGCGGGGGACAGCGTGGCGAAGGGGTGTGTAGGCAGTGGACATGCCGCACCAAGTCCTGTCACTTACTTCCCTTGAGATCTCGAGTCGCCTGCCACATCAGCGTCACGGGCACGATCTCAGTTTTGAGACTGTAATTTGAAAACTTAGGCAATAGAGTTAGGGAGAGGTGTTTGCTGAAATGCAGATTTCTAGTTACATCCTCTCCGGGGCCTCCCCTGCCCCTTTAAGTGTTTGGAATTCTGAAACTATGGAGCAGGACCTGGAATCCTGCATTTTTTAAAACCATTTTTCGAGGTGATTTTTATGCAGTTCTACAAATCTCGTTTTGAGAGAGAGACTGATTCAGGTTGTCAGCATTTCTTCTTGAGAGTGGTCGTGGTATTAACTCACCGTCACCCGCCAAGAAACCTCACACACAAAATAGAAAGGAGGACCTTAAGTTTCGGCCTGGAATACAACTGGTCAGCTCCATGAGTCTCCCTTTGTTTAGGTGTGCACTCCCTGTTGTAGAATGGGGTTATGTTCAGTCTTTTGCTCTGAGATCAAGTTTTAGATTCTCATCTCTCTTTCAGGGACCTCTTCTTTCAGGCAGTTGTCGGGAGTTTAGGAGTCTGGGTGATGACCTGTGTGTTGATCTTTTAGTTTTTCTGCTGAAGCATCCTGAGCTTCTGGAGATTGATAGATTCTTGTTCGGGGCATGAAAGCATTACTAGTTATTTAGAAATGAATCTCCTGAGATATAGTTGGAGTCTTGCATATACAACTGTAACAATAAGAAACAATACATAGGACATGTACTACAGTTAATACTTAACATCAATGACTTTTTTTCCTCTCTAGGAATGGGCGAATTTAAGGTCCATCGTGTACGTTTCTTTAATTATATTCCATCAGGAATCCGCTGTGTGGCTTACCATAACCACTCAAACAGATTGGCTGTTTCACGAACAGATGGCACTGTGGAAATTTATAACTTGTCAGCAAACTACTTTCAGGAGAAAGTAAGTCATTTGGGAGCCTGATTGGGTATTTCTGGTGTTAATTTTCATCTTAAGTTCAATTGTACAAAGTTTTATGTGTCTTTTATATTCGAAGAGTTCAAAAGAAAGTAACTCTCCCTCATCTTTTTGGAGTTTTTAGAACCACATAACTTATATAGCAAATGTGCAATCTCTTGTCTGAGCTCAGAGTTTTGATCTGTGTAATGCTGGATAGAAAGATCCTACCTAGGAGTTGTGGCAGCTCACTGTTATTTGGAAACAGGTTCGCTGAAACTTTTGGGTGCAAGCAGAAGGGAAATGGTTGAGACCATTGGTTTGTATCAGTCTCTACACCATTGTAACGTTGGTAAGGCAGCATTTACTGCTGGGGGTGTCAGTACCCATTTCATTGGTTAATTCAGAAAAAAATGAAACTTTCTGGTGACATTGTGGCAAGAAGGTAGATTCCTAAGTTCATCTATCTGAAAGAATATACACTTAAATGCCTCAATTTGGGAGTAAGGGAGATTTTAAACTAGGTAAAGTATGTTAACAGTAGAGGACTGTTAAAACAGGATATTTTTCAAAGGCACTGGTTACTGATTTCAGGTGCAACAAAATAGTTCAATTCACATTTATTGAGTGCCTTATGTGCCCTACCAGTCACTGTGGAATAAAATGGACAAGTAGATAAATGAGTGGACTCAGTGCCCAGCAGCCTGCTACTTGAAATTGAGGCACTCTGTAAATGTTTATGAATGAGTGAGTGCAAGTATTAGGCATGAAGACGAATGTCAGAGGCCCTGCCTTCAAGGAGCTCAAAGTCCAGTGGGGGAAAAATAAGTACACAGTTTCCAAACAGTGTGGTAAATATTATGATAGGCTAAAGACAAGCATAGAATGTTAGTGGAGAGGCGCCTTACTCTGCCAAGGTCAGTTTAGGAATCCTGAGAAGGAATGACTTAAACTGAGCTGACCCCTGAAAAGCTAATAGGAGTTAGAAATTTGGTGTTCACCGCAAATGGGTTACATTCTGGAGTATGAGACATATGCTGTGGCACATGCTTGTTGCATCCTGTGATTTTTCTTATCATCTGTGATAGTTATCCTATAATAGTATATTTGTTTAATGTCTTTCTTCCCTACTGAACTTCAGGTTTTATGAAAACAGGGTTTATGTCAGTGATATTTATGACTATATTCCCAGCACTTAGCATGTGCCTAGTACAAAGCCACTGCTGAGTTAATGTTTGTTGAATGAATATGTCAACCATTCCTTAATTAGTATCCCTTATTTTCTTCTGTCATGTTTTCTTTTTTCAGCAGTTAATTAATTCAGTCTAGTCTTCTGCCATCTCTGTACTCTCTTCCCTACTAAAGATTGCTTACCTCTGTTAATCACTTGCAGAGCAAGGAAGAATTGTTTCTGTTAATGTGAAAAGAATATACAGACTAGGAATAGGGAGATCTACATCCATGTTGGCAATTGGGGCAAGCCACTTACTCCACAAGTTGGGCCTTTTTCAGTTTCAGAGGAAAAATTATACCTACTCAGTCTCTCTTTGTCAATCAGATATAAGAATAAAATATGCCTTGATAGGTATGAAAAAATTTTGAGTGCTAAGAAAGCCCTTAGAAATCTGAGACTTGAATGAGAAATTGGAGTGAGCTGTAATAGTTTATTTTGTAAATAGATTTTACAGATAAAATTGACACAATAAGCAGCTTGCATTTAAAGTATATATATTCATGACTTTTGAACATATGTATACTTTTGAAACCATCACCCAGTCAAGCTAGTAGATTTGATTTTTTTAAAATTTGATACATCAAATATGATGGGATACAAATTTTATTCTACTGACTAGGCTTTGCAGAATAAGTTCTAGTAAAAAGAAACAAAACCAAGTGCATAACTAAAATTTGAACCTGAAAAAAGTGAAAATTTCAAGAGACATGATCTTCTGGTAGCACAAAACTCTACACTGTTTATTTTTTGGGAAGTATTTTAATTTTCACCATGTTGCCTGCGATCAGATAGTGCTGGTAGCTGATGAATTCATGGTGGTTGAAAAGTTAATGGTGTTTCTATAGTTTTTCCCAGGTCATGAGTCTCGGGCTACAGAAGCTCTGTGTTGGGCAAAAGGACAGCGACTCTTTAGTGCTGGACTCAATGGAGAGATTATCGAGTATGATCTGCAGGCATTAAACATTAAGTATGCCATGGATGCCTTTGGAGGACCCATTTGGAGCATGGCTGCCAGCCCCAGTGGCTCTCAACTTTTGGTCAGTAAGCAACTATTGGCAATTCAAACCAGGATTGCCTTTGTGCCCACTGAAACTTTCTTCCCTGTGCTCAGAGAGTAAAGTTATATATGGCATGTAGCTCGCCAGTCAGAGCTGGACTCCAGCAACCCCAGTACAAGATTGGAGTTGACATTGGGGGTTAAAATCTCTTGTCCTTTTGCATCTTTGCTGCTGCTGCTGCTTTGGATTCATTACTTCAGTTAGGGAATGAGCAGGTTTGTTCAGTTCAGCATTTCCCCAACTATGTTCTTTGGAATTGGGAGATATAGAGGCTTTTTGTTCTGTTGTGCTTTTTGCTTTATGTAAATTACATCTCAAAATAGGGCACATTAATAGTAAATTTTACTGTAGATTCACAGTGTGCTAACATATATTAAAAATTCTGAGTCTTTCCCCAAGTTGGCTTGTGGAACTGTGTTTCATTATGGTGTTTCTCAAACACTGAGCAAAGACTAGTTTTCTACTTTTCCCCACTATTGTTAATCATTAGGATGGGTACTTTCAGAGATTTTATTTTCTGGGAAAGCCTATGATTCTTTTTTGATTGGCATTAATTTGTACGATATCCTCACATGTCTCCATTTAGGTCATATAACTAATAGGTCCCTTATTTAGGCCATGGGTCTCTAGCAGGAATGTGCAGTGAAATCTAACTTCTTTTCCATGTCCTCTGCAGGAATTGGGCCACTGATTAGCCTGCTTTCTGGATAGGACATGAAGGCTGCCAATAATATACTATCCATTTCTTGGTACCAGTACTTTTTTTCTTCTCACAATCTTATTTTTCTCTAACATGGCAAGTGATAGCTTTGAGGGGGCAGATGTGTGTGTTTGTAAATAGGTAAATTTAGTTCTGTAAAATACTCATTTTCTGTTTTTGACCTCTTTTTTCCTAATAGGTTGGCTGTGAAGATGGATCTGTGAAGCTATTTCAAATCGTCCCAGACAAAATCCAGTTTGAAAGGAACTTTGATCGGCAGAAAAGTAAGGGTCATTCTTGGTGGGACAGTGAGTAGCCTTAACAAGAGGTTATGTTTCTGTGCCACTGGGGATGAGATATTTTCCCATGGGTCCAGGTAATATTTTATCTACATGCTATCTTTATCTGAGTACAGGGTATATGCTGAAAGCCATCTCTTGTTCAGGCTTTCTTCACTGTGTGTCATAGTTATGATTGCCTGGTTAAGTGATAAAGAAAACTGGAAATCCAAACTAATAAAGCTATGTAAGTTGATTTGTTAATTCTCACTTATTTTTGTGAAGTTTTAACGTGTGTGCAAAGTCTCAAAACTAGGATTTTTTTCTTAGGAGCTATGGTTCTTAATCCTTCTAGTGCATTCAAATTGAGGAAGTTTATAAACAGTTGTCCATGTTCCACCTCTAGGGATTAGCAAATGCTCAGTAAAGACCCCAGGTAGTAAATATTTTAGATTTTGAAATCCAGTCTCTGCCAACTCTGTCCTTGTAGCACAAAAGTAGCAATACATAATACTTAAACAGGCATGTTGGGTTTTGGTAAAACTTACAGAAACAAGTTGGTGGGCCTGATTTGGCCTTTGGGCCATAGTTTGCTGACCCCTCTTTTAGATGACAGTAACTGTTTTATGTATTTGTGTCCATTAGTAATATTTATCCTCTGCTAACCAGATTCCTATTTTTTTGTTTGCTCTTAATGTCTTTTGGGTGTTTTTTTGCACACTCATATAAACAAATACACAGGAGTGCTTATGCTTATTTTTCAGCTTGTCTTTTCACTTGCTGTATCACAGACATCCTTCTGCATCAGTCATGGCATTCCATTTTATGGTGTTGCAATTTCACCACATTTCTATTGATGGATATTAATATTTTTTCTGCTTCGACCATTGCAACAGTGAACATTCTTATATATGTATATTTGGATATGTATGCAAACATTTCTCTTTGTTTTATTCCCAGTGCAATTACTGGGCCAAATAATATGTTTAAATTTTGTTAGATTGCTATCATCACCCTCAAAAAGTTGGCTTATTTACCCCCCTCAACCATTTATACATTATTAAAGTAAATTTTAAATATTCATTGTGGATCCCAGTGTAAAATATTTCCTCATTTCTTATGAAATATCTCTTTACAAGAGCACAGTAGATAAGAGCTAAGACTGTCAGACACTAGTTCTGTAGATGATTGTGAAAGGAGAACTCAGTTACCCTTTGCTGTATATTTATATGTGTGTCACTTTCTTTTTGTACAACTCCCAAGGTCGCATCCTGAGTCTCAGCTGGCATCCCTCTGGTACCCACATTGCAGCCGGCTCCATAGACTACATTAGTGTGTTTGATGTGAAATCAGGTGACTGTTTTTCTCAGTATATTTGGGGTGTGGGTCCTGTTTGCCAGATTGACATTTCTGGATTTCCAAAAGCTTGAGCCCTTGTAGTTGTCTCTGTGACCTTTAGGGTTTAACTTCTCAGCCTTCTGAGATGTCAACCGGAACGTCCATTCCTTTCTTGAATCACCACTACTCCTTTGGGGGGATCTTAGTTCTTCGGTGGGATGCAGTATTTTTTGATCAGAGTAAGAATTCATATTAAAATTCACCCTTAACCAGTAAGACATTTACTATAAATGGTACACCTGTTTATATTTACCAGTTCTTGGCGAAAGTGGGTGTCTGTCTTTGGTGAAAATAAGATTTTGATGGCGTAATTGGTGACACACGACATCAGAAAGGTAGAAAACCACATAATCTCTCTGTTCTTGGCCTAGAGAATTGGGTGATGAGATTGACTTCAGTTTGTAAGGTGGGCATGTATCTACTCCCATCTCAGATGGGAAGTAAAACAGGTCAAGCGTGGCTTTTTATTCTTTGTTCTCAATGCACAGTAAGTTTTTTAATTATCAGGTGCACATGTGTAGTCAAAGAATTCCTTAAGACTTGTTATAATGAAGCAGGAGTTTCCCTATAACTTTTTACTCCTCAGAGGCAAGTCTTAGCGTATTCTTTTTCCACTTAATCTCTGTGCTGTGGATGGCATGCTTATAATGCTCAATTTTTATTTTTCAGTTTCAGGCTACTATTTACTGACTTCCACTATTTAGCCCTTATTCTGTGCCCTTTGTCACATGCACCTACACTTTCTCCTTATCCTCCCAGTATGGTTACGTTGTAACATTTGAATTAGTGTTTTCAGTGTTTATGACTATATAAATACTATCCCCATAGTCAGTTATCTTTACTTTTTGTTAATAATGTTTCATTCCCCTGCCTCCATATATATATCTATCTCAACTAATTTATCCTCAGATTCTTCAAATTATATAAATCAGATTCAGATACATCTGGTTTCCTTCCTACCGTTTTTATCTTCTTGAAAAGTTCTTTCCTAGAGCCTTCTGACCTGCTCCAATATGGGGTACCCAGTTTCTGGGCCTACTGCACAGCTGTGAGATCTCGAACTCTGATTTTTCAATCATGCTGGGACCCCCTTTGCTTCTTTCTTAGGTAGAATCCTGTTTCCATGTCGTTCATTCACTTTCCTGGTTTTTCTTTTTGTTCTTATTTTTTTATGATGGTATCATTGATACACAGTCTTAAGGTTTCACAAGAAAAACATTGTGATCACTACAATTCACCCATATTATCAAGTCCCCCGCATACTCCATTGCAGTCACTGTTCAGCAGCCTAGTAAGATGCCACAGAGTTACTACTTGTCTTCTCTGTGCTATACTGTCTTCCCTGTCATCCCCCACCTGACAAAATGTGTACTAATAATAATATCCCCCCAATCACCTTCTCCCTCCCTACCCACCCGTCCTCCCACACCCCTCCCCTTTGGTAACCCTTAGTCCCTTTTTGGAGTCTGTGAGTCTGCTGCTGTTTTGTTCCTTCAGTTTTGCTTCATTGTTATGCTCCACAAATGAGTGATATCATTTGATACTTGT